TTTTAAAGACGTTATTAAAATTTAGATTTATTGGTTAAGTTAAAATGATCTTTGTAAGACGTTTTGATTACGATCCTTGGGAATAAAAGTGGCGTTGAACTAGCAAGTGGTTTCTTGAGGTGAAAGTTAGTGCACTTTAACATGCCGTCTTGGTTTTGAAAGAGGCGGGTGTTACAATTGTTTTTTGAGAATATTAGGACAAATGTGTGATCGTGTTCATCGACGACATTCTGATCTACTCGAAGAATAGGAGGGAGCATGAGTCGCATCTGCAAGATGTGATGAATATTCTGTGGGAACAGAAGTTATATGCGAAGTTGATCAAGTGTAGTTTCTGGCAAAGGAAAATTGGATTCTTGGGTCATGTAGTGTCAGAAGCCGGAGTTGCTGTTGACCCCGAAAAGATCACCGCCATCACCAATTGGCCAACGCCTAAAAACGCTACCGAAGTCCAAAGTTTCTTAGGATTGGCGGGTTACTACCGGAAGTTTGTGAAGGGATTCGGTAGCATGGCCAAACCAATGACCAAGTTGACTGGAAAGTATGTCAAGTTTATTTGGTCGGAAGCGTGTGCTAAGAGCTTCGCAAACCTGAAGGACCACTTGACCCGAACTCCTGTGTGCAAGAAGGGCAGGTGCCTATGCATCAAGGTAGTTGAGACTAAATGAAGCTAATTACCCGACGCATGACCTGGAGTTAGCCGCTGTTGTTTTCGCTCTTAAAATATGGCGTTCATACCTGTATGGAGAGAAGGTACAAGTATTTACTGATCATAGGAGTTTGAAGTACATCTTCACTCAAGGAGACTTGAATCTGAGGCAGCGGAGGTGGACAGAGTTGTTGGCGGATTACTACTTAGATATAGTCTACCATCCTGAAAAAGCCAATCAAGTGACAGACGCTCTTAGTAGACATAAGGTGGATGTTTCTAAAGGGGAGGAAGTGGAAGAACTTGTCGCGACCTTGGCTACTTTAAGGTTGTGCGCTACATCTACTGATGAGGAGTCAACCGGGTTAGAAGCCTTAGATCAAGCAGATTTACTGTGGAGGATCCGTGAAGCACAGCAAGTAGATGATGCGTTTCAGAAGCTGATCAACAAGGGAGTATATGGATATCGTACTGCCGCAAATGGTACTTACTTGTTCAGAAATAGAGTCATTGTATCCGACAATAAAGATCTGAAGGACGAGGTTTTGCATCAAGCTCATCACTCGACGTTCTCTATTCATCCGGGAAATACAAAAATGTATCGGGACCTGAAGCGTTATTACCACTGGGATGGGATGAAGCGAGACATCGCCGTGTGGGTTTCTCAATGTCAGACGTGCCAGTTGGTAAAGGCAGAGCGTAGAATGCCGAGTGGGTTATTACAAGACTTGCCGTTACCAGAATAGAAATGGGATATGGTGACTATGGATTTTGTTACCGGGTTACCAACGACAACCGGAAACAAGGATGCTATATGGGTGATTGTGGATCGACTTACCAAATCGGCACATTTTCGGGCCATCGAGAAAACGGATGGGGCAGATCAGTTGGCACAAAGATATTTGAATGTAGTGGTACGATTGCATGGAGTACCAGTTAGTATTGTATCGGATCATGACCCAAAGTTCACATCAATCTTCTGGCAGGCCTTTCAGAAGGCGTTGGGCATGAAAGTGCATCTTAGCACAGCTTATCATCCGCAGACCGACGGACAGTCCGAGCAAACAATCCAGACACTTGAGGATATGTTGAGAGCTTGTGTGTTAGACTGGGAAGGAAAATGGGGAAAGTATCTACCATTGGTTGAATTTGCTTATAACAATAGCTTTCACTCCAGTATTGGAATGGCTCCATACGAGGCTCTGTATGGGAGACCATGTCGAACCCCGCTGTGTTGGACCGAAGTGGAGGAGAGACGGGACTTAGAGCCAGGGCTGATTCAAGAAACAGTAGAGCAAGTGGAATTACTAAAGGAAAGACTGAAAGAAGCGCATGATCGTCAGAAAGGTTATACGGATCAGCATAGAAAGGATTTGGAGTTCGCAGTTGGTGATGCTGTGTATTTAAAGATGAGGATGTTCCTAGGAACCGATAAAAACCGTAAGCTGAAAAAGTTGAGGCCAAGGTTCATGGGGCCGTATAAGATCATCGAGAGGATAGGGACAGTTGCCTATTGGTTGGATTTACCACAAGAGTTATCAGACTTTCATGATGTGTTTCATGTGTCAGTTTTAAGGAAAGTGGTTCGTGAACCAGAGCTGATCTTAGTTGTGCCGCCTATGGACGTGGGTTGAAACTTATCTATTACGACTAAACCGGTAGAAATCTTGGACTGTCAAGAGTCAGAAATTCAAGGGAAGAAGACAAAGTTAGTTCGTGTTCGTTGAGAAAGAGATGGAATCCGGGAAGAAACTTAGGAGCCCGAGGCTGTGGTGCGGGCGAGTTATCCAGAGCTCTTTGGGGGAGTTGGTGTGCCTCAGGATATCGATTCGAATTCGGAGACGAATTCCCATTTAGTGGGGGAGAATTGTGACATCTCAGGCCCAGGCCCAGAAGAGAGTGTGCATAGAAGTGCATTTCCGATTGCAGGCCCACCAGCCCATGGCCCATTCCGATTTGACCTAGGGTTGTAGCTCTCTTCCCTTATAAATACAGATGCCCCCTTTGCTGAAAAACCATTAAGAAATTTCCAGCGAAGCTCTGCCCAGTTTTCTTCAGAGCATCTCGCCGGAACAGTTGCCGGAGCCGCCGCCGCCGACCGCCGCCGTTCGCCGTCGCCAAAAAATCACTGTCGTCGCCGGAAAATTGCAGGAGTCGCCGAGAATGTACCCCTTTGCGCCGTCTTCTCGAATCTGCTGCTATCTCTCAGCTTAGACTCTGTGGTTAGTAGATCTGAGCCTTTTTCGTTTCAGATCTAGATCTACTTTTTCAGATCTAGATCTAGTTTCCCAGATCTACTTTTTCTATATCTGGATCTGTTATTTTTCTAATATTTTTTTCCATTTGCTGTGGGGTCGTACCCATGCTGTCGTAATGCCCAGATCCATTCGGCGAGGACCCGCAGTAACCAGACCTCCTTCCATTTCCATTTTCCACTTCCGATCTGAGACTAAGGTGAGGACTGACGTGATCTATCTCTCTCAGATTCATAGTTGTTTCTTACTGAGTAGTCTTTTGTTAATCCGTGCATACCTGCACTGTATCTATATAAATATACGTATTTGATTGTTGATTGAACGCTTAATATCACTATAATAATTGTTATTGTCTTGCGGTTGTTGATTGATGAACTTAGTACCATAGATTGTTAAATGGAATACTGTTGATTGATGTATGAATAGTATTTGCGGGTGTTTGCATTACATGGGAAAAATCACTTGCGTGTTGGGATTAGATGTAGGAACTTCTTTTGATATGTATGGTTTGGATATGGAGGCGTGTGAGACTCCATAGTCCATCGTTGGCGGCTTGACGAGCCTTGCGTCTTGAGGACGGACAGCGTGTGGACCGCTATATGTCACGGGGTGTGCACCGGTGAAGACGTGGATGCACCAGTTAGGTCTAGTGATGTCATTTCTTGATCTATAAGTGTCTTCGGACGTGTTTGCTTGAGTGTATTAGCTTAGGACTTTCGTCTGGAATGGTTATGCATGTACGAGATATATATCGTGGGTCCCTAGGACCCGTCCTCACTGAATATTGTTGGAATACTCATCCTTCTTTTCTTTGCAGGTGAGTGCGTAGACATTCAGTAGTAGTCTTGTGGCTCGGTGATGGTTTTGGGAAGATGCGGGTTTTGTTTTATTATTCGTTATTTATTTTTAAAAACGTTATTAAAATTCGGATTTATTGGTTAAGTTAAAATGGTCTTTGTAAGACGTTTTGATTACAATCCTTGGAAATAAAAGTGGCATTAAATTAGCAAGTGGTTTTTTTAGGTGAAAGTTAATATATTTTAACATGCTGTCTTCGTTTTAAAAGAGACGGGTGTTACAGGTAAGTTCGTGCTGAGTTGAGGGCTGTGCTACCGAAGCCTAGTTTGGTTGGAGTTGTGCGTTGTATGTTAATGATACAAACTGAATATTTGAAAAAAATCTTAAAAGTTTGAAAGAAATCAAATATTTTTGTGAAAATAATTCGTGCCACTATTTGATGTTGAAACAAAAAAGATACACGGGTATTGTTTTTTTACATATACTATACACATTAATTTTTTCATATGACAAAATCCATGAAATACCTTGATAAAATATGAATAAAATGAAGAAATTATTTAAAATGATCTACAATAAAACAAAATGTTCAATATGAATTTATTTAATAGAAAATTATATAAATAGATTTTTTAATAAATTTGTTTGACCAAAAAAAAGATTTTTTTATAAATTTTTTTAAAACATCAGTATACTTACTAGTTATTTTTCATTATATACTAATAACACATGAATTTTATACATTAAAAATACAGTAAATATAAATTAATAACAGATTAAAAACAAATTAATGATAAACTACACGTACATAATAGTAGACATTTCTTATATAGTTCTTATAAAAAATTATCTTTTCCGTATTAAAATTATCAAACATGTTATCAAATAAATATATTATAGTATCTTAATTTTTAACTTTATTAATTTCATATTTCGATATAAATCTTCCAAAACATTTTATGTAGTAAACCATTTAATGCGTCCACAGAACGTTTAGTAACTTTTGTATCTCCGGAAACGACAATAACTTTGATGCTATGAAGATTGATCTTATCCACTAAATGTGTTAAAGAAGACAACGAGTATTCGACGTGCGTTTTCCACATCTTAAGAAAACGTGTCGTCTCGTTGCCATGCAATGTTGCCACACCACACCAACTGATCTTCGTGTCTTCTCTTTTCGTCTCATCACCGTTTTGTTCAAAAACTAATTTAAATTTTGTTGGTTGTTTCTATATAAAACCGAATGATTGATGATACGAACCGATATCTTTTTATGCGCATTGTGTGTTGATCAGCAATGGAATTAATAAACGATTTCCTCAATCTAACTGCACCTTTCTTCACTTTCTTTGGCCTTTGCGTCTTCTTGCCCCCTTTTTATTTCTTCAAGTTCGTGCAGTCTATTTTCTCGACCATTTTCTCTGAAACTCTTTATGGGAAAGTCGTTCTCATTACTGGTGCTTCCTCCGGCATCGGCGAGGTTTGGTTTCAAAAACATTTAGACCTAAATTAGTATATAATGTTAGGAATATTACTCATTTGAGTGTATATATTATTATCAGCAATTGGCATATGAGTACGCAAGTAGAGGTGCACGTTTGGCTCTGACTGCTCGAAGGAAGAACCGTCTAGAGGAAGTGGCTGAGATTGCTCGTGAAATTGGTTCTCCCAATGTTTTCACTGTTCATGCTGATGTCTCTAAACCTGATGATTGTAGACGAATCGTCGATGAGACTATCTCCCATTTTGGTAGATGTAAGTCACAAGAACCACACAAGGATGACTAATTTCTTCGAATCAATACTGTACCTTTTTAGTTATACCATTCACAAGTTTTGGTTTGGGAACACTTTGATCAAAAGAGTAACATATTATAAGACAGATTCGGTAAGAAAATAAATTATATTTGTGTTCTGTTTTGTTTGGTCTGATTTTGACATGCTTTGACTTTGCAGTGGATCATCTTGTAAATAATGCTGGAATAACGCAGATTGCAATGTTTGAGAACATTGAAGAAATAGCTAAAACAAAAGCAGTTATGGTAATGTTATATAGTTATTGTGATTATAAGATCAAGCAACTTTTTTAATTATAGACCCATCTTTTTAATAATTTTTACTTCTTTATTAGGATACTAACTTTTGGGGATCGGTTTATACAACTCGTGCTGCGCTTCCGTACCTTCGACAAAGCAACGGTAAGATCGTGGCTATGTCTTCCTCTGCTGCATGGCTAACGGCCCCAAGGATGAGCCTTTACAATGTAAGTCGATATAATACTTTACTCTCTCTTAGTCAATTAATGTAAAAAAAGTTTCTTTTTGTTTGAATGTAAAATTACATTCGTTTTTATAGAATATTTCGTTTAAAAAAACTACATTTGATTAAATTTTACACTTTATTAAAAGAAAAATACTTCGTTTAAATAAATTTTATATTCTATTCAAAAACGTTAATTAGGTGATTCGTTATGTAAATTAGGCAAGCAAAGCAGCTGTGTTGAACTTCTTTGAGACAATGAGGATTGAGCTTGGCGGCGATGTACACATTACAATCGTCACACCTGGTTACATAGAATCCGAACTCACACAAGGCAAGCATTTCTCTGGTGAAGGCGAGTTGATAGTCAACCAAGACATGAGAGATGTAAGTGAAAATATCACTCTTAAAAACAATAGTAAGATCATTATTGTATAATAATGTGTTTGTATCCGTTGCCAAATGTTAAATTAGGTTCAAATAGGAGCGTTTCCGGTAGCATCAGCGTCAGGATGTGCCAAGGCGATAGTAAATGGTGTGTGCCGTAAACAGAGATATGTGACGGAGCCGTCGTGGTTTAAGATGACTTATCTTTGGAAAGTGTTTTGTCCTGAAGTGATTGAGTGGGGTTGCCGGTTAATGTTCATGACCGGACATGGTACGTCCGAGTATGACTCACTCAACAAGAAGATCATGGACATTCCTGGTGTACGTAGTGTTTTGTACCCGGAATCTATCAGAACACCGGAAATCAAGTCGGAGTAGAGTGAAGTCGTTATATAATAAACTAAGATCAGATGTGTGTTTGTGCAAATGATAATGTAATATAAGCTCATGCTTTTTTTGTTGATGTACTTTTTGACTATGTATATGTTTACTGTCTGTAAGAATTAAGTGAACTGTGTAATTCAAAACATGAATAAAGATCGAACCGAATGGAACCAAATATTAAAGTGAAGTTTGTTTGAAAATCAATCCAAATTGAAAAGAAGTATTAGTTCTAATTTGGTTACACGTTTGTTGGTAACTTATCTTATATTTTAAGATTTTTATGAAGGATCAATCTTTTTTTTCATTAGTTTGCAACATGATACGACTGATCAGTTCTTGTTTGGCTTTGAGATAAGAAGCTCAGGGCTTAGAGTACTAAGCCAGAAGAGAACCCGGACCCATGACGGCTCTGCCACAAAGGTTTGCCCCCTACAGATTCCGCTAACAACCGCCTTGGCGCATTTGGCTGCTGACTCTGGCGCCACAAGTTGTGACCAGTCCTGTTTCTGCAAAGAGAACCAAGTCATAAAAATTCAGACAAACACAAATGAAATATTGACGATAGTATGACGAGATCGATTTGAATATATATTTACTCATTGTTATAACATTTGGGACTCAGCCAAAAAAAAACATTTGTGTGTACTTTTTTATGATGAATAGGTAAATTTTATATACGTTATGGTTTTGTATAAATAAGTATATTGTCTAATTACTAAAGATGAAAAACACCTTAAACTTTCCTCTAAAATCTGACTTAGTACAATACCTCAGCCAAAAGATTTGGATTGGTAGTTCCATTTTCGATTAGACCCGGAAACACCATTGTTACACCAATTTCTTGACGAAGCTCGATTCTAAGAGTCTCGTAGAAGTTTATCATAGCTGCTTTACTTGCCTGAATCCTCAAATGTCACATGATGTCAAAAGGGTGCAATGTGAATAAAAAGAAGAAAAAAGAGGAGGAAAAGGCATTTACAGCGTAAATGCTCATCCTTGCCACTCCAGACCATCCAGCAGGCGATGCGACCGCTACTATCTTTCCTTTGGTTTCCTTGAGATGTGGTATAGCAAAATGCGTTGCGTAGACCGGGCCCCAAAAGTTCGTATTCTGAAATAGTTAACGTAGAAACTTTTAGATGTATCTAAATAATTAAAATTTACTATTTACTTGGTTGACCATAGTTTCTCAATATACCATAATGGGAAGAACATCCCAAATTTGTGAGTAGTCTTCGAACAATCTGGCCTCTGCGATTCCTGCATTGTTCACCAGGTGATCCACTAGAACCACATGGTTGAAAGGAGTTTTTGTTAGAATTTTAATGTTCTTTCAGAAAGAATCAAATATTAGTTTATTCGAAAATGGTGAATAACTTACGTCTTCCAAATCGAGAGATGGTTTCTTGAACAAAACGTTCACAATCTTCAATGACTGAAACATCACCACGTACCACGGCAACCTCTGGTGATCCAAGCCTCCGGCACCGGTCAGCCACCACTCGGAGACGATCTTCTCTCCGAGCTACTAATGTTAAGTATGCTCCTCTACGCGCGTACTCATATGCGAGGTGCTTCACCATTAAATAAAATTAAACATATTTTGCGTTACCAGTTTATTTTTTAATAATTAATGGGTTCAAACGTGAAAATAAATAATAAAAAAAAAACTGAACAAGCTATTTTTCAATCAATTTTGTGAATTTTAAATTTATAACTAGTTTATACAAAAAAATTATCTATTGAATAAATAATACCACTTTACCATTTTAGATTTATGTAGTTTTTGTCCTAAATTTATTATTCAGTTAACAATTAATCAAAATGTATTAAATCGTATTGATTCTGTTAATTTATTATTCAGTTAACTATTAATCAAAATGTATTAAAGAAAGCTTTGCTTCGTTTACACGAATTAGTAACTTTGAATATACGAGGAAGAGCCACTAACCTCACCGATTCCTGAGGAAGATCCGGTGATGATGACGACCTTCCCGGTGACTTTCTCAGTCTCTTTGAATCTCCTAATAAAGCCGAGGAGCTTGAAGAATAATGAAATTGGCATGAACACCAACATAAACGAAACCGTGACAATAGGTAGAACAATGTTTAGGATCTTGTTGATCAAAGCCATATATTTGACCTTTGTGTTTATCCTTCACCAGAAGAGTTATAATTTATAACCTTCAGTTTTCTTCTGTTTAGATGTCACTGTCTTGAAATCAATATTTAAACAATTAAAAGGAGAAAATTAAGAAGAATCTCTAAATTCATAATTTGGTATCTTTTACGATTGTTCATATTGTCTTCACTCAATTTATGATTACAAAAACTTCAAATAAAAAAAAAAACAGATCTTCGTTATCTAATCCATGTCTGGTATTCATCGTAAATGATAGAAATGTGACTCGGTTTTGTGAAAATAAATTTGGTTTACAATTCCATTTGTTTGGTACGAATAAGCTGTGTGGACCGGAAGAAGAATAAACCCAAAACTGTCACTCAAAACATACGAAGGAAGGCTATGAGTCAAACTCTCAGACTTTGACTCAAAGTTGCTGTTAATTACAGAGATGCCACTGACCAAAGGATAACTTCTAACCAAACCGATAACCGGACAAAATTCAGAACCAACCCCTGAACATAAATTTGAATGATATTAGAAAAAAAAAAAAAAAACAAAGAGTGGTGACTTCAGTCTACAAGAGTCAAAAGATGGAGCAAGTTAATAGCGTGATCAGACCAGATACAGTAGTTGATTTCAGATTTGTCTTCTCGACATTAAGATTGTATTAAATACAAAAGACAAAGGAATCAAGTTCTTCTAAGCACTCTAAAGTCCAATCTCCAATAGAATCTCCAACAAGGAACTCAAGTTCTAAGAGCAGTGTTTCACAGCACCTGAAGGCAATAGATCAGTGCTTACTACAATTCAAGCCTTGGATATGTCTTCGATTACACCTTTCCCATCCTCTGCATCAAAGTAGAAAAAGTTCTTCAATGGCTCTCCTTTGCCTGATATCGCTTTTATCACCTCCTATAAAGACAAAAAACGTTTCTTTGAAGTCACATGGCTCTGCTAAGTAGTGACAAAAACCCAAAAAATTCAAATGTTCAATGATGAACCTGTCCTAATATCCCTCCAATGATGGCACAAGCTGGTGGGAACTCTGAATTACTAGAGACGAGTCTCTCCAAGAGGCTATCCGGTATATGATTCTCGCTAACCGACTGTTTCCAACATACGGATTCAAAGTTGAGTGACAAAGTCTGTACTTTATAGGTTATACAAATCAGGGTCAAAGAAACTTTACATTTCCCTCACAGAGTTCCTTTTTGAGTTTCAAGACACTTGGGAGATCAGAAACTGAACATTCTCCAGGTTTACGACCCTCAGTTTCTTCAAATAGTTCTATCACTGCAAGAATATCAAGAAAACTGGATTAGTTAAGTAAGAAGCAACCAAGCTTTCAATGGCTTAGCTGGTGTAGACAGACCTCTCGTTGCAAAGTAGAGCTTTGCTGTTCTCCTTGGAATCGGTTTCCATGGAACTGAAACTGCCTCCTGGAGAGAAAAAAAAACAGACAAGACATTAGCTTTTAATATTACTTTACTCCCCCTGCAACAGTATGTTCTGGTCAAAGCAAGAACTCGAGTTTGTTTGTACCTCAAAACTCGAAAATGTTAGTTCACATTCTACTGTTTCATCAGGGTTTTTCTGTGACAGGACAATATAAACACATTATATGCCAACAGAAGAAATGTGATAAAAGACGATGAGAAGAAAAGGAACGGGATAAGTACCTTCGCGTACTTATAATTCTGCAGGTCAACAAATATTTCGCCACACGAGCCTCTACAATCGACTGTGTAGAACGCAACACGCTTTGTAAGCTTCCTACATGTCTCATTTACTGCTTTCTGCAATAACAAAGGAGATTATAACAAGTGATGAACATAGCAACAAAAGACAAAAAAACAATTGGAACATCTAACAAAAGGAGGTAATCCACTTATCGGTACCTTAGTAGCACGAGAACTGTAGCCGATAATCACGACATCAAACTTGTTGAAAAACTCAACGCCAAGTGTTGATAAATCACCTGAGATATTGAGGGCATAGACTCAACGTTACTACAAAAATTAGAGATAAGAGAGAAATGAAGAAAGTGTTACTTAGGAGAGCAACCTTTTTCTACTGAAACATGGACCATTGGGTTAAACTCCTTAAGTGAGTCACAGCAAACCTCAGCTACGGTTTTGCCTACATAAGCGTTTTCATCAGGAAGAATCAAGAAGTTTGCGTTGAATGCTTCCGATGTCACAAACCGATCATCCAACAGAGTCACACTACCAACTCCTGCCAACACAATGTTCTTGCAAAACTGCCCACCAAAGACAAAACCAAGTAAGACGCTACACTACTCTACTGCAGAAAAACTAAAAGAGAATCGCGGTGAAAGAACGAAAAACGGTGAAGTAACAGCTACCTCAGCAACAGTTCCCTTTATTCCAGATACCAATACATGTGATTTACTCAATCTGCAATTAAAAACACCAACCTCACACTTCATCAAATGGAACCAAGTTTTCACAGTAATAATATGCTATTTCAGAACTTTGATTAAATATGCTCCACAGATAATCAAAAACTCATCTTTACACCTTGAAACTTCAATTTGAGCTCCAAACAAGATATGCACTAACAAATCAACTATATCAATCCATTGCAATTGCTATAGAAGGTTAAATTTGTGATACTTCTTAACCTCTTTTCTGAATATCCAAACCAAAGATCAGAACCCCTAATCAAACTTAGAAATTGGGTACCAATTGATGATCAAATATGCTCCACAAAGAATCAAAAACTCATATTAGATCTCGAATTTCAATATGAACTCAAAACAAGATATACATTAACAAATCAACTACATCAATCCACTGAGACCAAATGGCTATAAAAAGTTAAATCTGTGATACTTCTTAGCTTCTTTTCTGAAAATCCAAACCAAATATCAAAACCCCTAATTGGAAAGCAAAAACCCAGAAAGAGATTAAACATTGACTCATCATCTCACAGAGATTGAAACAAGAAAGAGTTTACAAAGTACTGAAAACCAACTAAGCAACTCATAGCGAATCATAGCGGATAAATAACAGACTCCGATACTCGCAGTCTTACATAAAAAGTTACATTCGGTGTAAAAGTTACCTCCTTTGAGCACCAGCGCCCCAAACCCTAATTTGCCGGTCGTACAGAGCAGTTTCCTGTTCGGTGAGCTCTTCTCCGTCCATATTTCCCAAAATTTAAGCTTTGAGCTTTGTTTAGGATAAAGTTTGGAAATTGGAATCTTTTTATGTAATTGAGAGGTGAAGGAATAGTCTTGAAGCTGAGGTTCGTGATGCCCTAGAAGCCGAGAGCCAAGAGATATCAAAGCCGCGCATCTACACGAGAGATGTGTTACAAAAACTATTTTCGGTGACTCGCTGAGTTTTTAGGTGTTTTTGTTAACCGTGTTCTTTCGGAAGTTGCCCAGACATGGTTTGGTCCGGTCCGTTAACTTAAATTTTTATACTGTATTTTTTTTTGGGATAAATTTTAAAATGACCACTTCGCAATTTTATTACGAAACCATGTTTTAAAACTGATTTATTTGTTGTTAGTCTGTTAGTAATTTATATTTAGTCTACTATTAGTCTATCAATTATCTATATTCAATTATAAAATAAATCAGTGTCATATTAGTCTGTATTTAGTCTGTCATTAGACTACAAATAAAAGTAGTTAGAAGAATAGCACTGATATTTAAAAAAACCATAAAATATAGATTATTTTCACAACTTTTTCTTAATAAAATACTCATTTTACATTATTTTCTCATTTTTGGTTATTTTGGAACATTTCCTATTTTTTATAGGAAATTTGTGATAATAGTCATAAATTTATGTATTTCAAAAAATAAAATCCTCCTTCTAGAGCAAATGATTTAATTTTTATAAAATAGCAAATCTCTATGAAAATAATTTAAATAAACTGGATAACAATAAGCATTATATATTAATAAAAAGGTATTTGATTAAAATTTTTTCTGCGTTGAAAAATTTAATGAAATTTGTTTTTCATCATAGTGAGTTAAAAAAAACTAACTTAAAAATAAGGACAATTCTCATATTTACCATGAAAACAAGTTTTCAAACCAAAAATAATAGGAAAGCTAAATGTTTTCCAGTTCTACCATTTTTCATTTGTTCTTTTCGATTTTGCTTTTTAGGAAGGTCTCTTTAAATATATTTTTTTGTCAATATTTCACGATCTTTTAAAAAGGTTTTCTAGAACACTAAAATCTAACATTGTTTAATACAATTTATGGACTTTCGTTATGTTGTATCTTGTAAATGTACCACTGTATTTGCCTATTGGGCTTTCATCATAATTTTTCAGGAAGACTTTCATAAATATGTATGATCGTTTCCTAAACGCACCTCTGTAGATTTTTGGATTTTTATTTCAGAAAAGCCTTACTAAATATCAGGAAAGCTTATGTATCGTTTAGGAAGTCTTTCCTGATCTATAGTGTTTTAGGAAAGTCATCCTAATTTAGAACAGTTTAGTCAATTTAAATAATTTAGTTAGACGTAAAGAAAATAACAACTTGAACCATTTTCTATTGGTTAAAATATCTTATTTGAGTGTTTTATTTAAGAACAAATGTCAGAAATCAATAAATTCACTTAACTTTGTATTCAGGAAGGTTTTCCTAATTCGATAGAATCATTATCCAGATCTATAGAACCAAAAATAAGCAGAAGAGAAGGAAGAAGAAACAAATTATACAAATCTGAAAAAGAAACTCAAATCATAGAAAGAAGTTAATAGAAACAACCCTAAATCAAACAAATCAGCATCAAAATCCATAGAACCAAAAATTACTAGAGAAGGAGGAGGAAGAAACAGCTTACATAAATCTAAAAAAACTCAAATTAGAGAAAAAAGTTGACAAAGACAACCTCAAATCAGCATTAGAATCCATGAAACCAAAAATCAGTGGAGGAAAAAATAATTTACACAAATCTGTGAAATCTCAAATTAGAGATAGAAGTTAAACACTAGTCTTATGATAAGGATGAAAAATATTCGGCAACAGAAGCTAAAGATTAAAGTCTGCAGAGAAAAAAAGACTTGTAAAATATGGCTTTATGATAGACCAGTTGGGTCATCATTTGGGTCTGCTTTACAAGTTTAGTCCAACAAGAGTCTGCTATGTTTTCTTGGTCGTCTGTGACCATCCATCTCTTGCATTTGGCAAGTTATTTTCCTGTTCGAGAGTTAGAGGTAGTCAATGACAGTGACAATCCTCCTCAGTTCATTTCCGACTGGGAGTTAGAGGTAGCGGATGTTGGCAACAATCCTCCTTCGTTTAGTCTCGACCATGTATGGGAGTTAGAGGTAGCTTACCATGGCAACAATCCTCCTCCGTTCGCTTAGACTTGCTTCTCTTCATTATGAAGATCGTCTTTTAACGCTCAGTATTCAAGGAATCACAAGCTATTAGTATGGTTCACTCGTCTTTGATGACACAAGAACCTCATATAGTTTCAAAAACGACCACCTCAGAAGCCCTTTGGAAGAAGCTTTCAGTTTTTATCTTTGATTTAAGTTGTATAACCTATCCGTTTAATATTTTGTCTTCTCTTTCTGTATCAAGTAGTATCCACTCTTTGGCAAAAAGTATCCTCCTACTTCCAGCTTTTGTATTTCAAAGTTAAGTTTTTAATATAAGCAAAATTTGAGCCAAAAAAAAGATCATGGTTTTATGAGAAAGAGAGGTTACAATAATAAAGAAGAAAAAAGAGAAAATATTTATAAATAATAAGTTTTTTATTAAATTGAAGGCAGAAATATCACTTAGTAATAAAAGATGTTATAAATGTAAAGTTTTTAATTTATCTGGTATTTTAGAGAAAAAACTAATTTTTATGTTATTTTGAGGAATTTTCTAAAAATAATAATTACGAATTTATAAGATGAAACGATTAATAAAAATTAAAAACTACTTTAATTTTCAAAATATAACTTACTAATAGATTGTAGAACCCTAATATACTCGACATATGACTAAATTAAAATTTGAAACCAAATCGTAATATTTTTTATTTTGTTTCTCCATTCTTTTGAAGAACCTATAAAAATTACAAACGGCAAACCCTATAAATAATCAATTTGTAGCACGTGGGTCAATAAGAAAACTTAATGTTATTTTATATAATAGCACACTGCTTTACATACTAATATATTAATATCTATACAATTTACAATATTTGATCGAAATTGTTAAATGGATAGTGATTATCCATTTGTTTTTGTCTTTATACATTATCATATTAAAAGATAATGTTTATCCATAAGTTTTAGATAATGCTTATCCATATGTTTTGGATTATGCTTATTTATATGTTTATAGATTAGCTTACTTCACTATGAAGTAAAGTTTTTCCTATAAATAGGTGATTTCATTCTTTGTAAAATCATAAGTTCAGAAGAAGAAAGAAATGAAGTTCTTATGTTCATCTTTCTCTCTTTCTCTGTGAAGTTCAAAAGATCTTAAACTCTTCTTTGCTTTTCTTTATAAAGCATTAGTTTACAACACGTTATCAGCACGAACGTCTCTTGATCTATATCCGGGAGTTAGATCTATACCAGATATTAGAGATGAGATTCATACCGTCTCTAACAAGCCCGATATGAATTCTAGTCGGCCCGTCTAACAAGTTCCAGGTCGGCAACATAAATGGAAATCTTCCATTTGTTGATGATCCGGGGAAAAAGAAAACTCCTTGCCGACAAGAGTTTTCTATTCCAAACAGGTTGACCGACCTGATCGGCTATAAATGCAGGAAGTCCTCGACTCCTCAAAGCATCCAAAAATAATCAATCGACCTAGAGCAAAACTTAGCGATCAGACTGTTCTAGTTCTTGATTTATTTCCTTAAACAGTTTTAGGTCGGCGTTCTTATTCCCACGACCTAAACACCGTTGTATTCAACCAAGCTCCGGCTTCTTCTAATAAAAAGATCTCTTTGAAACCCTCGAACCCTAGTTCTTTCGTAGATCGAACTTGAGTTTTTACAGTTGGCGCCGTCTGTGGGGAATAAAAGATCTTTGACTTAGAACGGAGTTCGAAGATGGTTGAAACACCGATCAACACTACCGACCTCACCGGAGGAGCCTCCGATCCGACAAGAAACATTCAAGATCCGATCGTCGACCCAGCCACGGGGCTTCCGGTGGCCCACCAGACCGATCAGGAAGACAACACAACTACCAACTACCGCACAGAACATCGGGGGAACAGACCAGGTCGGTCAGACGGGTGGCACAAACACGACCAGCCTGCCACAGCCACCACCCATCGACATGGCCACAATCATCATGTCGGTTGCAGCACAGTTGCAACAGGGGATGGATGCTCGCTTCGAGTCCCTCCGAGCCGAGCAGATAGCTTACAGAGAAGACTTGGATCGGCTTATAAACTCTAGGGTTCATACCCAAGAGCAGGCCGATCTTATCACTCCCCCTCGCCCTTCGATCCGCAACACAGATACGACCAGGCTGGTCAACAACTTGTTTGGCACGACACCGACGGACGACTTACGGAGAGCACAGGCAGACGGCTCGCATGCCCTCTCATCTCGTAATACCGCAGGAACCGACCCGATGATAACCTCGGAACTCGATCTGCTCCACCAACGCCTTGATGATATCCACAGCAAGATCCACAAGGCGACGACTTCAGCGCCCGAGTTGGATAAGATCCTTCAGGAGACACAGCAAACCCCGTTCACGTCGGCTATCACCAATGCTCCTCTTAAGGACATAGGTCGGATGAAGCTACCTCCGAGTTACTCCGGCACGACAGACCCGAAGCGACACCTGACCGCGTTCAACGCAGTCATGGGATGTGCTCGCTTCACCGATGAGGAACGGAAAGCATGCCTCTGTCAATACTTTGTGGAGATGCTCTCCGGGAGCGCCCTCACTTGGTTCTCACAGCTTTCCAAGAACTCCATTGACAGCTTCAAGGAGCTCACAGCTCGGTTCCTGAAGCATTATTCGATTTACATCGACACGGAGTCCACAGCGCTCGATCTATGGGCATGCGTCCAGGGCAACACGGAACCGCTGCGCAATTTTATCGATCGATTCCGATCAATCGTCTCCCGGTGCAGTCTGTCAGACGAACTGTGTTTCAATATTCTTATCAAGAATTTGAAGGATGATTAATCGTTTTGTGAAC